TGGCTAGCCTGATTCATCAGCTGATTTCACTTCGTGGAAACCGTCTGACCTCGCAGCATTAGAATTCGTTCGCTTGACGGTAGCCGGGTACTTCTTATTATTTAACCAAGTGTTGCTATTTGGTTGTGACGTATGTAATGCGCCTCTAATGGGGCTAACTGGTATATTTAAGCTTTTCCCCAATACCTTAGGAAGAAGGGCAATAACGTCTTTCCCCTTGATAAAATTCACCAAACATTCTCTTTGTTCCGGCTTTAAATCCTCAATCTTGGGAATCATTGCCAACACAGAATATATGGCTCTTTGCTAATTGGCTGGTGCCCAGACTCGCACTTCCAGGGTTCTTGCAAACCATATAGTGTATTCCAATTCCTAACCTAGTCACTGGAGAGAAATGAAATTGCGTGGAAGCACTAGGTGGCCCCAGTCTGGCTACAAAATGGCACCCTAGAACAGAAATTCAGTTTTCTGTTAAATTGATATTACTCATAAACTGAACCCAGAACCCAGAACTGAAGAAGCAGCTTGGATGAGCTGCAAAACATATTTGACCAAATAAACTTTGTCCAGTTGACAAATTAAATTTCTCCTTTGCCATGGATTCTACCTGGACAACTGAGGGATTTTTCACATACCCAAAAATACTAATACTTCACCAGATATCTAAAACTTATTTGACACCAGTCTCTTATTTTTGCTACTTATGTTGAATGTATTATTACCATTTATATTTTTGCTCCATTATATTTATTGCAGTGTGGTAGCTACTGTGTCCAAGTAATTTCCCTTGTGGATCAATAAAGTCTAGTTCCCAGATTAAGACATTCAGTTTCTTTTGAAAGGGTACGTAGAGAAACGAATACTAATCAGATCATAGTACTTCATGAGTAAGGCATAGGCAAGTTTTTAGATTTTACCTCTTTTTACCTGTTCACTTGCTGCATAAAGGGTTTTTCATCTGAACAAGCTCCACTTTCACAACAATCAACCTGCCTTTGTCACTTAGAGAACTCAAATCAGGGTCTTTCTTGACAACTCTCCAGATTTGCCTCTACTTTAGCTTTACAATTAATGCTCTGCCATCTGGATTCTTGGAGAAGAATTTTAAAATACAGTAATTAAGATCATCTACACACCAGTTTCCACAATGACAATAGAAATCTTTACAATCTAAAGACATGCAGTAATTACTTGACAATCAGGATCTTCTCGAGTACAGCACAGATGAGAGTTACTGTGTATTTTGCTGGTGCTCTGTCTCTTGTGTGGTCACTATCCCCCCATGCAGCGTTCAGTGTCAGGATCGTAGTCTCACTGGCTACAAGCATCCCGTCCCCGCGGTGGATTTACTGGCATCACCCCCTCCCCTCCCCATGCCGTGCTCTTTAATTACCCTGGCCTATTGATCCTCTATGGGACACACACTCTGGAGCTGGGGCCGGGCCTGTACAAGTTAATGACTGATTATTGTGTGGTGGGCCCCTGGGACGGGACAGGAGCTTGGAGCACACTGCAGCAGCCTCCGCACCTCTCCCTCGACTCAAACACAGCTCGAAATAGCACTTTGTACTCACTGCTCTGCTGAGTCCATTACTTTGAACTGGCGTTTAGTTTGGAGTTTGCAAGAAAGTTTGGTCCATAATGGTATGTAGTTAGGGTTACTATATAAATCAATATAAGAATAAACCTTGTAGTAATTTTCAGGCAATTCAAGAATGAGTCACCTCTTGTCTCTACGTTGCAATACTTTGTCCAAAGTTCTTAGTCTTAGGGTACATTCACATTTGGTTAGGTCCTGTTTTGTACCCAAACTCCTGGTCAAGTCCCAGTTTAGTCCTAGTTTAGCCCATATTCATGTTTTGTATCATGTAAGTATGAATGCAGCCTTATATGCAAAATGTATAGGCTTCTACAGTTCTGCCGTTGATTTCCTGTCCTACCTAAATCTTGCTATTTCCACATGTTTAAATAAGGTACCATATTTGTCTCTCCCCACCTCTTGCTGTTGGTGCTCCTTTGTGTTTTTAAAGTCTTTTCAAATGCACTACACTCATTCTTATAATTTCAGCTCTCAAATGTCCTTCACTACAGAGCTACTAAGTCATTTGTTAGCAGTTTGCATTTTTAGTATAATTAAAATGACTTCACACAGCGCATTAGCAGTTGGAGTCCTCTTGCCCTCTGCTACAGTTTAAAAAAAACGTGATAATGGATAATATAAGACCGGTAACTACCCTACACATTTTACAATAGCGTATGTCTCACGCTGAGACCAAGACCAACGATTTTTAGCTATGATTAAGTTTTTCCTCGCGATCAAGACTCTTGTCACAGACGGACAAAATCGTGCAGTGGATGACATCCTGATCTGTCAGGTGAGACCACACTGCCCCTGGACTCTTGGGGTGTTTTTCAAAGCCTAGGCACCTTGTCTTGGTGTATGGGCGTGGCAAGGCATCTACATTATCCATGTCGTGTTCCAGTGTTCATGTCCTCCACAGGCCTGTGGAGTCCTCTGTTTGGCATTTTAGCTAATGCTATATACATACAGTGTATCCTTCTCTGCCTCTATCAGGCAGATTTACCCATAATGTGTTTGTCTTTTTGAAGAAAAAAAAGAACTACTCTAGTTGACATCTTTGCATTTGAGGGCAGATGCTTGAAACTTGTTGATGAAAATTCTGGGTTTTTTCAACTCTGACACTCTAGACCTGCTCCATGAACGCTTGAAATGTGCCACGGAAACTTTGAACCAGCCTAGACCTGCATTCGGGTGCCTTCATTTGTTTGCACATCATGATAAAAAAATGATATTTTTATGTATTTATTATTTAATTATAATCTACAGAAGGTGAAAGAGAAAGTGCATTTATAGAAGCAACATACTGTTAAAAAACAGTCTAAACTCACAAAGGTAACACACACAGAGCTAATAAAATCATAGTTTCTCCAAATCCAACCTGCAGATCTTAATAACAGGGCCATTAGATGCATTGCACTCTCCAACAAGACTCTGCTCACCCACTACAGGAGCACCTCACCCCTCTGCTCTCACCCCTCTGTCCTTCCATTCTGTCTTCCCCCTCTGTCTTCCCCCTTTGTCCTCCCCCTCTATCGTCACCCCTCTGCCCTCACCCCTCTGGTTGGAGGTACGTGGTGCTCAGGTGCAGGAGGGTCCTTTATGGAAGAAGCCCATTCACGTCAGCTATCACATTTCTTCACAACCTGCTCCGCTGAGTGTACTGTAAAATGAACAAGCACGAGCTCTGTGTTTGTGAAAAAAAAATCTCCCCTGGGGGACAATAAAGTCTAAATGTAACGGTGTTAATAGTAATTGATGTTTTTTTCATAATGTATTGAATTGCACCAGATCAGTTATTTTGTTGTTTGATTCTGTACCTGTGCTGTGAGAGTCTGTTTTGGTGTTGCCTGGCAACGAGCCCTCAGATCTGTGCAACACTCTAAGGTAAGAAGCATTAATTTTGTGATCCTGACAAAAAAGTAATTTTTGCTAATGATTTCTTTGTCAATTTATGGTTTTAATCATGTTCTAATATGTTTTCTTTATATACCAATATTTAATTATGTTAATTGTAATCAAAATCTAATTTGAATCAATCATTTATGAGCTAATTTTAACTGTAATCAACCTTTGAAAACTGTTATTTTGTTTCACCTCTTTTTGGTCTGCTTTCACTTATTTCCCTTTCTTTGTTAGAGTACTGCAGCCTTCAGCTCACAGCACTTACGCCTCATGTACTAAACACCTTTTTTGATCAGTGTTACAGGTACGATAATTTATTGAAATGTAAAATGTAGTACTGTGTTCATTATGTGAACATCATCAGTTACAAATATAGAGTGTTTGTTTACCTCTTAAAGAGCCTGTTGATAAGTGATGAGACAACACTAGTTTGTTTAAAAATGCACTTAGCTCTTTTACTTCAACATCATTTTACTATTTTACTTCAACATGAATACTGCAACATAAAGTTTAGTGCGCATGCATCCAAAAGACAAAAATTTTTCATCATAACATTAGCCAACATAAATAAAGGGACCGTACATGAGAGAAATGACTAAGATGAATGAGAGCTACGCTAAACCTGCATAGTCTGCACTAGTATGACCTGCACATGTATGATCTCTGAAAAGTTTAACATGAACCATCTCCAACACACTAGAAGCACAGAACAGATTCACCATCAGCAGCACATTTCTCTGTCACAGAGAAATGTGCTGCCCTGTACTTCCCCTGAGTTGTGTCCTTTAGTCCAACAGAAGCTGACCGCATCAGGGCTCAAGGAAAGAGTTGCTTACAATTTATGCAAATGAGCTTTGCTTTGTTTTTCAGGAAACCGAGACACTCCATTTGATCATGTACACAGGAGTCATGAGTATCCCGGTTTCTCAGCTCGCATGTAAATGGCATATCCCCAATACTGCCATAACTGGGATATGGCTAATAACCGGGATACTGATGTGCATGTAAACACACTGAATGTATTTCACAGAAATAATGTTAACATGATTTATGACCTGTAATTTAGGAATGAGTTTGGTCACAATATGATTTATAACTGCTCACTGGCATAGTTGAGAAAATGTGAAAAAAAAAAAAGTAATCAGAAGACTTATTCCCTTTTTTCATGTTTTTCTTAGGCATTAAGGGTCTGTTAGGGAAGTAGAGAAAACAAAAATTGTATGTCTTAGTACAGAATTATATTTAGAAATTTAAAACTAAGTAGAAGAAGTAGAATTAGAAGACCCATCTACTGTTGTACTGTACTGTTACATGTGACATTCACTCTTCATCCTCTGCTCCCTTTGACCCTCTCTTTTGCATCCTCTGCTCCATCTGACCTTCTTCTCTACATCCTTTGCTCAGTCTCACTCTCTCCTCTGCTTCATTTCCAGGACTGGACTCAGAATGAAGTATTTTCCGAGAAGTAGACTGCACTTTGTTAGAATCTTGGTTTTTACTGTCTGTTGGATCTTAGTTTTGGTCCCCCTGTTGTTCCTGACACCTCAAGAACTATCTCAGGACCTGAGAGTCCGGGATCTAGACCAGGATCTGGAGCAGGACCGGGTAAGTTCAGACAGGATCTAGACAAATGAATGATTTATTCATTTTGGTTGCAGGTAATAAAACTAATAAGATTTTTATTTTATTATTAAAAACAAAGATTTATCAATGTGAAAGCACTGTTTACTTTTTTTAAATTATTATTAAGCTTTTACTGTCCCAGCTAGAAAAGAAAATAGCTTTCATTAGTCCATTGTGATTTCACGTCATACTTTGGCATATTCAAAAATAAATAAGGCCTAAAGTGCTTGTACAGTGTAGACATGTTTTGACAGATTTTTTGTCAAATCTGAAATATAAATGTGTTAATAAATATTTTAGTGAAATGAGAAGTCTAACCTCTCTCTGATATGATGTAGTGACATCATTTTGGGGGTGTTCCACCTTAATTGCTATGGTAGAATGTTCAGCAGTTACATGGTGACACAATGCACACATTAGCAAAGACTGTCAAAAAGTTTTAAGAAAAAAAAGGTGAGAATGACTCAATAACTCAAATCCTGTTGGCTTATGCTAGTTACCTTGTGACTGCATTTATATATGTGAGAGACTTAACACCACAAATCAGCTGCTGTAGATCCAACTGAGTCTGCTCAGATCATGAAGAAAAAAAAAAAGTTAAAATTTAACAGAGCTTCAAATGGAGCAGAGCCTTCAGTTAGATTCACACCCCCAGGGAATTGACCTTAGCTGCAAAGTATCAATAGTCTATAAACCCGTCGTGTAAAGTGTAAACTGATTGTTTTAATGAATAAAAGATCTCTACTATATGAATATGTTTTAAGGACCCAGAAGAGACACCAGTTAGGATCCAGGATCAGACCAGTGCTGCTGTAATGAACCCTTTGAACCAGAGCAACACCAAGATCTGTGTTTATCCAAACAAACCCACTGATGCGCCTCGTGCCAAACGAGCCAACACACCGTAAGATCCCCTTTAGTTCTGCTTTAGAACTGCTGCTTTAGACCTGCTTTAGACCTGCTGCTTTAGACCTGCTTTAGACCTGCTGCTTTAGACCTGCTGCTTTAGACCTGCTTTAGTTCTGATTTAGTTCTGCTTTACTTAACCAAGAAATAGGCCAGATACTCAATTCCAATTTTGAAGCCATAACTATATATATATATATATATATATATATATATATATATATATATATATATATATATATATATATATATATATATATATATATATATATATATATTATATTTATTTTTTATTTTTTTTTTTTTTTTTTTAAAGCAAAACTTTAAGACAAACATTTTAATACAATATAGACTCAATATAGACCCAACACAAAATATTCATACTTTATGTGGTCTAGTTCTGATGAAGCTCAAGATTATTCTGCTAATAATCTTGACCTTAATGGTACCGAGGAGAGGCCTTCATTATTTTTTATGAACATTCACACTCAATCAAGATTGTATCTTGTTGAATTGAATTGGCGCCACTACTCTAAACACATGAGGCTTTTTGGACTTGGACAGGTCTATGCTCAGTAAAGCTGGAGGTGTTTGAGGTCACTGAAATGAATCTCATTGTAACCTGTTCAAGTCACAGACTCCTCACAGCCTCACACTCTGTCTCTCATTTTGACAGTCATCTGACCATTGGTTTTTAGTTAATATATGTCTCATTTGTCCACAGTAAAGGGGAGTACCCGGTGGACATGTTCTCGCTGGAGCAGAGACGTCAGGGCTGGATTATACTTCACCTTTTTGGGATGATGTACGTGTTTCTTGCATTGGCGATCGTTTGTGATGAGTTCTTTGTTCTGACGTTGGAAATCATCACAGAAAAACTGAGGATAACTGAAGACGCTGCCGGGGCGACCTTTATGGCGGCCGGCGGATCTGCTCCTGAACTTTTCACATCGCTGATTGGAGTGTTCATCTCTCACACCAACGTCGGGATCGGGACAATCGTTGGTTCGGCCGTCTTTAACATCCTGTTTGTCATTGGCATGTGCGCTGTCTTCTCCCGTGGAGTGCTGAGCTTGACCTGGTGGCCACTGTTTCGGGACATGTCCTTTTATGTCCTCTACTTGATTATGTTGATTGTGTTTTTCCTGGACAACTCCATCCAGTGGTGGGAGAGTGTACTGCTTTTGTTGGGATATGCAGCTTATTTGACCTTTATGAAGTTTAACGTTCAAGCTGAAACAGCGGTGAAGGTGTGCTGCAAGAGACGCAAGAACAGAGCTGTAGGGAGCACCAACGAGTCGGACAAGGTCAGAACTGTGCATCATTTTAAAGCAGCTGCCCATAAACATTGAGCTACAGTTTTGCTCCGAGTTCTATAAAATTTGCAGACTGAATTGGCTCAACAACAATGCCCTGGCTTGTTTCTGTCTTTTCCATCCCATTATATCTCTTTGTGGTTTTGCTCAGGTTTGCTAAAAGAGACAAAACTTAGAGCAGGTTATTGTTCTTATGTTTTACCTTTATTTATCCAGGAGAGTGTGGGTCAGTCAGTCAGTCAGATGTGCCCATACTTTTTTCTGGTCAACAGGTGGCCGGATCTCCTGCTTTTGTTTCTGATGTTGAACCCGGGACCATACCTGGGCCAGACCCCGAGATGGACCCACCTGAAACCGAGGTGAGATCTGTGGAGGTTTTGTTCTTATAGATCTTTGGTAAACCTAACTCATAACCACCTTCCAAATAAGGTGAAATTTTTATTTCTCTAAATGAGTCTTGGTAAATGGTAAATGGTCACATTTTTCTATAGCGCTTTTCCACCTTCAAGGTGGAAAAAGCACTTTACAACAAGGAACAACTCACCCATTCACACACACATTCACACACCAGTGTACGCAGACACTGTGGGCAAGGTGGGTTAAATGTCTTGCCCAAGGACACAACGGCAGCATTCATCTGTGGGAGCTGGAATCACACCAGCCAACCTGTGGGTCAGTGGATCTAACCACTCAACCTGTGATGTTTATGTCGATGGTATGGTATAGTTAGAACTAAATGCATTGACTACCAAAGCCCTGTTGTGTTATAGATCTCAGAGAAAGGGGATGATGGAGATGCAGAGAAGGAGAGTCCCCCAGACCCGGCCCAAACAGGCCAAGTACTTGTTCCAGCTGCCCATTCTGCTCCTTCTGTGTGTCACACTGCCCAATGTCAGGAAGCCGGTAAGAGGACCGAAAAAAAAAAAAAAAAAAAAAAAAATTTTAACAAAACAAATTTAACATATTTAGCATTAAAATTATAACAGTGTCTACAAAAATGTATCTAGTTTCCCATAGTTTCATAGAGAAAAAACTTCCTAGTTGAACATGAGCACCCTAACCCTAACCCTATAGATTCATAAATAGACCTGGTTTTGTCAGTACGATCACATTTCTGGTCTTGTTCTGAAGGCCTGGTGGAAGTTCTTTGCTGTGACGTTCATCGGCTCCATCTTGTGGATTGCAACTTTCTCATACTTCATGGTGTGGTGGGCCCATCAGGTGAAACAATGACAAAATGCACATTTTCTCCTACTTAGGCAGCTAAACTAGTTCCAAGTGAATGTCTGCATGTCCACGAGATTTTTATATAATTTATAACAAATTCATTGAGATATCCCACTCACAATTTTGGCCGTACAAGTTTTGATTTACTTTATTTAATGGTTTGCATTCACTGTAGCAATGCTTCGCCAAAAATGTAACTCGACAACACTTTTTTGTGCGATCTAAAGTACCTGGGGAAATGCATGTGTCATGTGGCAATATCGTCTCACGAAATGTTGTCCTATCCCTATTATTTAAATCTAACTCATTCCTAGTTCCCTCCAACCCTTTTGGCAAATCATGTGTAACACAGTGTTCACACAACGCACTTCAAGCATCTGCCCTCAAATTTGAAAGGGTCCAATTAGAGGCTTTTGACGTGATTTTGATGCTGCCATGTGAACTCAGCACAAGAACTCCAAACAGTACATTCCCATGTCCCTGCAGGTGGGGGAGACTGTGGGCATTTCGGATGAGATCATGGGCCTCACCATTCTGGCAGTGGGCACCTCCATTCCGGACCTCATCACCAGCGTTATCGTGGCCCGAAAAGGCCTGGGCGATATGGCCGTGTCTAGCTCTGTGGGCAGCAACATCTTCTACATCACAGTAGGGTACATGTGAGCACTACAAAAATATACATACACAAGTTGGAGCACTACAAACAAACAAACAAAAACTGAACTCTACAGACCTTTTCAGCTGTTGGCGGTGGCAGGTGTTTCTTTATGCTATAAATTAGTGGAAGTCAAATATTGACTTTTAATACTCATTGCCAAATGTAACAACCGTGATTTGTCTGCACTATCTACAAATGTGTCCATGTTTTATTTAGCTGTCCTACTAAAATAACATTTACAATTTCCTCTTTTTTTAGTGACAGCACACCTCACGTTAAAAAGAAATTGCAGTTGTTTAAAGCTAACAAGTTTATAAGCATGGATCCACTACTATAGTTATAACCAATGAGATATAAATAAGGAACTAGAGAGATTGATTGTCACCATAGTTACCTGCTATTAAGAATGTACCGTTGCTGTAGACATGTCATGAGAGCAAAATTCTACTAAAAATTTTTCATTAAAAATGTCCCTTATACTTAATAAGTATAATTGAGCTTTGTTGTATTTGTACTTGCCCATTTTCTACCAAATGAATATGACAAAATCTCTGAAAAATATTTTTCATTTTGGTAATAAATTCATCTTTTATAGTGATAAGTGTGAAGTAAACAGAGTAATTATCAGTGGTTTTGTCCATGTGGTGTGCTGACACCCAAATATGGTGTCATTTTGCATAAAATACAGACCAATGCAGTGAAAGTTACTGTTGAGTTTTAGCCACTAAAACTGTTTCAAATACAAACTATTACTAACAGACTGATATTTAAACAACATCTCTCTCTCTCTTACTCTTTTTCTGCCCGCAGTCTCCCTTTTCCCTGGCTACTCTCCTCCCTGACCCATGGTGGAGAGGCAGTGTTGGTCAGCTCTAATGGTCTGTTCTGTGCCATTGTTATGCTCTTCCTCATGCTGCTCTTCATCATCATGTCCATCGTTGTGTGTCGCTGGAAAATGAACCACACACTGGGCCTCATGATGTTTGTCCTCTACTTCCTCTTCCTCCTGTTCAGCGTTCTACTTGAGAATCACATGATACCGTGTCCCGTGTTCATCTAACATCATGGGATCTGCAATGGAGCACTCATGAGAGCTTTATAGTCATTTTGAATTGGAATGTTTCCCAGGATGGCATTAAATTTGTCTATCTGGCATTTATTCAACTGCAGGTGTTTTATTACCCAAAATCACCTTGCCATTTTTACTATAAATGTGGTCACCTCTCCACAGATCTGACCTTTGAATTCTACCAAATGTACCGCCGCTCCATTTTAGAACTCTTTTTTTCTCACGAACTGCCACTTAGTTGAAAAAAAGCTAAAAAAAACAATGATAAATATTTACCACATACTATCCCACCAAACCAAGAAAAAGAGGTTCTCAAACTAACCCTAACCCTGTCATATGCACTTGTCTCCTCCTCTCAAGAAGGAGGTTGTGGGTTATACTCCTGATCTGTTGATAATCTATAATGATTTTCTTCCATAACAGTTTAACTGTTCTCTCAATAAAAGTTAATGCTTTATTCAGTTTTTGGTTTATGTCCTGTTAGGAACTGTTAGGGTAATAAAACTGTGAATGGAAAATGTTTAAAGGTACATGAAGAAAAATACCTTGAATAGATTTGAGTAGGTTTAACTTTTGGGACAAGAGCACTCCTGTACATGTTCGGTGGGCAGGAGAGCCACCTGCCCTACCTAGCTGCTAAACTTTAGTTTAGCAGGGACTTGAGTCAGTTGTTCAGGTCCCGTTCATGGAGGAGTCCTCCTCACCGAGCGGAGGACTCACTCTGCATCAAGACTCCAAAATATCAGACAGGCTTGATATCACCCACAGCTTTTTGGTGGTTTTCAGTTTGATCTTTGTCCCAGTTTTAGCTAATGGCAGGCAAAATGTTTTAAAATTGCTCACATAATTACATATAATAAAGTTTCTCTTATTGTAGGTTTCTTGTATGGATCAGCATTTAAAATGTATCATTTTAAATTTAGATTGTTAATTGGGTCACAGACACAGGTTATTCATTCATAAGGTGTTAAATGTATTAACCAAAGAACAGTGACCAGATACTATCAAGCTACTGCTTAACCTTTAAGACATGATCAGAGCAGGAATTAATTGGAAGTCAGAATGCATTTTTCATTACATTGTTTCATTCTCCTCCCACACATTATTATAATTTGTGCTCTTTATATTATGAGAATAAGAGCACAAAGTGTCAGGTTATGACAGAAGCTGAACTATAAACAGTGGAGAAACAGTGAGTCCTTCGAGAGTTTAATGTTTTCACAATAATCATCAGCACTGTTCACATCCTGGCACCTCCATCTGTCAGCCTCACAGACAAAACCACACCGATAATTAGACTTTATGCAACCAAACATCTTCGCTCCATATGCCTCTGGTATTAAATATAGGGGCAATTCTCAGCATCTCAAATTGGCTTTAGGGACAGAAGAATATGATGTTCATTTGTTTCAGTTTCCTGTGTCTAGGTGATCTTTTGAGAACTTTTGCCTATTCATAAGATATAATTTTGCTTTGAACTGTTAATTACTATGGTGACGGTGCTAAAGATTTCCATCTCACTGAAAACCATGAATAGATTACAATGACTGAATGCAGGCTATAAGCTCTTGTCTTTTGATTTTCTTTGGGAACCTGTGGGTATATGGGTAACCTAAAGAATTAATAAATGACTTGGTGAATAGAGTTGGCCTTATTTAATGGTAATGATCACTCAGTATATAATATAGGGGGCTAAACCATAGTTATTATGGTAAAATCCTCCAGAATTCTCATTAGTAAAGAATCATGAAATTAATTTGTGGAACATTTTCATTTTTATCTGCACACAAACATCTCCATGGTTCACAAACAGGTGTTTTGTCAGTTTACGGATCAGGTCTGTGTTGAGGCAAACCTGCTTAAAGTAAGGATTTTTTTTTCTACATAAACACAGCACAAAATTAAATAAATAACAGTATTTTAGTCTATTTATTGGTGAACTTGTCCACAACAAGGTTTTAACTGATCAAATATAAAAAGTGAAGATGAAGATTAAAACACAATACTACAATGGATTCAAAACACACAAAATGGTGACATTTTAAACCAAACTAGGACTATCAGAGTAGATCATTACAGCGTGCTCCCTGTGCTCCTTCTCTCATGAGAGGGAGCAGCTCTGTATTTAGCGCCTGGGCTCTAGAGAAGGACCTCTTTGGGGAAATAAGATGATGTCTGTCCACACATGATCTTTACACTGCTGTTCCCTGGCCCTAAACACACATGAAGGGACCGACGCTAAATATTACACAGAAGGATGGGTGGAAGAGTAGATGTCATCTCTTTGCCTGGAATGTTCCCCAGTATGGCATTAAACTTATCTGGCATTTATTCAACTGCAGGTGTTTTATTACTTCAAATCACCTTGCCATTTTTACTATAAATGTGGTCACCTCTCCACAGATCTGACCTGTACTTAACCTGGTAGATTTAGACTTTATGAAACATTCAGAGCAAAGAACCTTCCATCTGACATTTTTTTTATTAGTTAATTTAAGCTGATTTTATGGCCTGCACAATTTGAGCAGAACTAGAGCCACTCTATAGTTAATTGCAATTGCAAATCGTCTCTTAAGGAGTTGAGCTTTTTGTTGAGTGTTCTGCTAAGAAACTGCAAGAACAGCTAGCTGGATGAAAACATTGTGAGCCCTCCCACCGTTTCTGCTGTCAACTGAGGTTGCACTGGAGACAACAGTGCAGTCACACCTAGAATTAGCAGTCCGTAATTTGATGAAGCACAGGTGTTTTTTTCCTCTATCTCAAATTTTAACAATTCTACTTGATATCAGTATCCATAATTTGTCAAATGACCTGACTGACTCAAGAGCCAATCTGCATATCTGGACAAGAAAGGTGATTGAAATTCATTGCTTCTGAATGGTAGTAATTTCAGTCCTGCAATTGTCACAAGCAGCAACGGGCATTTCCCAAACCGACTATTAACCAAAGTGCACATAAATCACTGAGAGAGGACATGCGCCACGCTCATGGCCTTAAAATGGCCGACATGTTTTGCTTCATAAACGTGGTAGGGTTGAATTAGACTGAAGTGAGTGACAGATGACATTGAGGCTGTCAGGAGATGTATTAATTAATATGAGATTTGTTAAATTGCCATGTTATGTGGAATGTTATGCAGAATATACTGTGTCCCAGCTGCAGTTATTAAGGTACAGCATCAAACTTTTAAAAAATGCTATAGTTAATGGTGTATTATGCAACCACTGTATAGGACCCATCCACAATTGTACGTATTTGAGTCGTTTTCATTGCGGATGGTGTGTTTGTCCACACTAGTCCAATGGAAAATAGCTCCAGAGACGGAACGATCTGGTGCTGCCAGCTCCCATGAATTCATCTGAGTATGGATCTGATCTGGCACTGTGTGGATGCCTATGGACCACGTTACTGTGACTTGTGCCTTCTTGATTTGCTGGGTTCATGACATCGGTCATGTGATGCTATTGTGGAAAACAGTTTAAACAAACTATAGACAAACGGGAAACAGCGTAGCAAGAACTACTTACTACTTTCATGCTTGCCGTCTTATAGGCTTGAAATCGGCTGATGCAACTTCAGACATGGTGCTCCATGGTGGTGCGTCCTTGTTTTTACTGCCCAGTCTAGTCATGTGACTAGTGTTTCAGGCGGTTTTGTGTTACTGTGTGGATCAGGAAGGCTTTTATTGCAGACACAGAAATGATGTATCTGGACACAAATTGTTTCCAAAACAGTGATATGGTGATTCGTTTCAGTGTAAGCGTAACCTTTACCATGCTCTCTCTCTGCAGTAATATGGAAACAATAAATATTGATACTATTGATAGTTTGCAGTCACATCACACTGGGGTTGTATTTCTATGGCAGAATGTTCTCAAGAAAACTCAAGAAAAAAGAAAAAGAAAAAATAATAAGTATCTTCTTTCTGGTCAAATTGTGTAAAAAAGAAACAAAACTCAGATTAAAGTCTAATTTGAGTAACAGAGCTTCAAACAGAACAGAGCCTACAGTTAGCATCACATTCCCAGGATATGTTGTTTACATCAGCACCAAACTAAAGTATCAGTTGTCAGTAATGAATGCATTTCCATTAATTACATCTATTTTCTCAGCTGCAAATAGTCACAGCACACAGATATAATTGTTTATCTTCTGCATATATATATACTTCCAATTTCCACTATATTTCACTTCATTGATTTATGGTTTCTGTTCAGTTGTACCAAAATCACAATTCCAGCCTCTTTTAAACATTAAGGCTAATTACGGCTTATTGGGAGATTTTCACATTAATCTCGAATTGCTGCTGGGTCACTACATTCTCTGACGAGGTCCGCTGGCAGATTAACTGAACTACCGCTTATGTTTTATCACTGCGTCGCACACACAGGACAGGGGAATGGTCAGGCCTCCTTAAATCACTGAGTCAATTACCTGCACCATATGGGATAGCAGTGATTTGGATATTAAAGAGGGGCGTAGTAGAGAGCGAAGGGGCTTTATCAAAGGTGTCCCGTGAGCGTATCTTGTGTCCCTTAAGGCAGTACTTATGAACACCTGACTGGCTGCAGCACTGGGGGGAGCGTGCTTCAGTGCGTCTGATAGCTTTTGGCAATGGAAGCGGGATGAGATGTGGAATAGAGAAGGGAGCACCTGGACCAAGAACAACCACCTTTTTATCTCCAGAGACCAACGTAATTAGGTTTTGATTTACATCCAAATGGTATAGTCTTGCAGCACAGTGAAGTCTCTCATATAATGTTCAATTTCAGATGTGCTTTTTTCAATGTAAAAAAAAAAATCTTGGATGACTACCCTGGTGTCATTGGACCGGCTTCATTTGTAGTACATTTATGAGTTCTTTCAACCTTTTATCCTGTTATAAAGGAGTTGGATTCTAGCTATATTTTGGACATGAGCTGGGTACCACCGAAAAGTTCTTCTGAGGTATTGATACTTCGCAGTGGCATCATGCAGGAGATGTTCTGCAT